ACATTGTTTTGGGAAAGTTACACACCGATTCAATTTTGATTTTAGTGACCTCCGATTGGTGTAACCAGGTGTCATTACTGCCAACGTGAATTATGATCAGCGAGCTCGTGCTCCTGCTGGGGAGAGGAGAGAGGAAAAGGTTAGCATCGCCCAATATTTGATAACAGCTACTCATGTGGAGTACAGAAGGAGGAGGGGTCATCAGCTGAAGTGTCTGCTGTCAGGACTCCGGGTAACCGGCCTTTCTGGGACATCAGCTGGACTTTAAAAACATGTTTACATTGTGATTTAAAGCAGCACTTTAACTACTGAGCTAACTCATCTTTGGAATACAACTGCACTGATCTCAGTGGAGTTATAAATTCAGTTTCACTTTATTAGTTTCAGTGCTGGTTTTCTTAATTATTATTAAATGATGCTCATTAATTAGCAGCAGCATCAGTCAGGTGGTGATAAGCAGATTGGCAAAGACTTAAATTAAAGATGTTTCCTGTATGTTTTACATAATCATAATTTTCCATAAGATGTTTTTTTCTCTGTACAGTTATTTAACTCCAAACGTAAAACTCTCATAACCTTGTTTGTGCCTGTAGGGACTCTGTTGAAAAGCGTCATCCCAGCCATCCGTCCCCGGTCCCCGTCAATACAATCAGCCTTCTTAGCCACAACCGACCTCCTGAGCACCACAGGAACCACCTGCCACCTGCTTCTGGAGAGCCTCAGAGGGAGAAGGAGAACAAGGCCAAAGAGAGGGAAAGGGAGCACTCGGATTCATGGAAAGACAACGGCACAGACGACCACAAGCTCAAGGACAGCCAGCACAGTGACAAGGACACGCCTGTCATCCATGACGGCCGAGCGTCGGAGGACAAAATGTCAAACAGAGGATCGGCGTCACCCTATGTCCGGCAGACCAGCTTGGAACGTCCCAACGGTGGCCTGACGAGGGATGTCCTGGAGAAGAAGGCGGAGCTGCCATACGAGCACCAGAAGAAGAGCAGTGAGGTGAAAGTAAAGGAGGAGAGGAAGGAGGAGCAGGATGGAGGCGCAGAGAGGGCCAGTGAGCACCTGCAACAGGCGTCCTCCACCCCTAATCTCCACCCTCCCTCCTCAGTGCCTGTGTCCATGGGCATGCCCGGCGTCCACCCCATCAACAGCATCAGCAGCCTAGAGAGAACTCGAGTCGTGGCGCCCTTTATGGGTATCAGTCCCATCCCAGGAGCTGACAGATTCCCCTACCCTCCCTTCCACTGGGACCCAATGAGAGACCCCTACAGGGGCCTGGACATTCACAGGCGAGACCCTTTGGCCAGGGACCTGCTGCTGAGGAACGATCCTCTGCACCGGTTGGCAGGGCCGCGCCTGTACGAGGCAGAGCGCTCCTACAGGGACCGCGAGCCTCATGACTTTAATCGCGACCACGCCCACCCCCTGGCCCTGGAGCAGAGGAGGGAACAGGAGCGCGCCCAACTGGAGGA